GATTCTGATCACACAGAATAGAGGAAAAACAAAAAAACAACCCAAAGTGCATGAAAGGGAATACATGAAAATATCCACAGTGATTATTCATGGGGGGGGCGGTGGGATTAAAGATGATTTAAATTTTCTTCTTCCCGTTGATCTGTATTTTCTGAATTTCCTACAACAAATACATATCGTGTATGCTGGAAGAAACAAATAATTATGTACTTTGCAAAAAGAATAAGTGAATTTTGAATTGGAAGGACTTGTAACGCTCATCAGCCTGGATGGGGTTTGAGAACCCAGCTTAAGAGTTTGGGAACAAGCTCCTGTCCCCCCGCTTCCCTCCCCAGGACACTCCCCAGAGAGACATTTGTAAGTAAAATGAATGAACTCAGCTATTTTTTTTTTTAATTACAACTTGCCCAGTAATCACCATAATCACTTTTCTCAGGCACTTGTTTAATTACTCAGTCATAAGTATGCATTGAGCACCTACTGTGATACCAGCACCACGCTAGGCACAGCCAACTCCCCAAGCACAGACCCCACGCAAGGCAAGAGGGGAGTGAGCTCCCTGTTGGCCATTTCTAAATTCGAAAACAGCCTTCCTTTGTCCAGTGTCTCGAGTGTTTACTGTGTATAAGATCTGAAGCTTTGCCCTGTGATTTCTTTGGTTCCATTTGTCTTTTACGAGATTGAAATGAGATTTACAGTTAAAGGACAGATTTGTTCTGCTTCCCCCTCCTCCTCTCCCCACGGGACTCACATTTAGGTTTCATTTCCGGCTCTCTTTCCAGGCCGGGGACCGTAAGCAAGTGCTCTACCCCTGAGCTGCATCTCCAGCCCCAGGTTTACTCACTGATGAGAATGCAGTAGAGGTGAAAACGCTCTCTGCCATGACGTAAGTTGGGAAGTGAGAATTTTGTTACCTCCCTGCCCCAGCAGCTGGCCCTGGGGGAGTCGGACTGCCTGCCTCAGTGTTCTCATCTGTGTCATGGGTATGTCCCTCCTTGTTCACCACATCATCCGCCGTTACGTGAGGCTGACGGGATGACGCAAATATTTAGCCTGGTGCCTGGTGCAGCAGGACCGTTCAATAAATATTGGCGATTGATGTTCGATCAGGTTTTGCTTACCATCGCCAGAGAGAACTAGAAACAAAAAAAAAAAAAAAAAAAACAACTGTCACCAGGAAGCTGAGCTGTGATTACTTTGGAGCCTTTCCCACTGACACCAACTGAAACAGACTTAAATTTCTTGGTTCCAGTCAATTATGGAGAGGCTCCTGGTGCTGGGTGTGGTGCTTGGCTCCTGAGCTTCTGGGATGAAGGCACAGAATCTGCCATCAGAGTGGTATATATATATATATGGGGGGAGGGTGGCTGCGCACGGGGGTCTCCTCTAGAGACTTGGTACAGGCAGCCCACTTTAAGGACCTGGATAGGTCCACGTCTGTCACCTTCTCTCCCACCTGTGCGGCCTCCTCTGCTGGGCTACAGTTCTACAGAGCCACCTGTTTCCCCACCATAAACTCCAGCCAAATGCCAGGGAGCAAAAACCCTGGCAGGGCTACTGCAGCTACTTGGCAATGCCCAGGTTCTACCAAGTCCAGGGGTCCCCAAAACTTTGTCTTAGGCCCTTTCTGGTCGTTCTCCCCCTAGAGCCCAGGCACTCTTGCCTCAGTGCCCAATTCATGCAGGGAGGGCCTGTGACGTGCCGGGCACTGTGGGAGGTGTGAGGACACAAGGGGACAGTCTCTCTGTAGGTTGCTTCTGTTCTGGGAGGGGCAGCTGGAGAGGGGACATGGGTACTGATGACTGAAACCCCTGTTAGACAAGTGATCAGGATAAAGGGAGAGAGAAAGACTGGGAGCTCCTTCAGGGAGGTGGCCACTGTCTATACTACCAGGCGCTCAGGAGGCCGAGGCAGGAGGATCAGGAGGAGCACAGTTCAAGGCCGGCCTGGGCAACTTAACAAGAACCTGTCTTAAAGTAAAAAATAAAATGGGCTGGGGATGTAGCTCAGTTTGTAGAGCAGTTGTCTGGCATTGAGAAGCTCTGAGTTTGGTCTCCAGTATTGCCAAAAGAAAAAAAATAAATAAACAAAAACAAGCCCTCCTGAGGAGGGGAGAGAGGACCCATCAATGGAGTTCCACTGGAAGGGAGAAGGCTGCCAAAAGGGCTTCCTAAACAGAGGCACGGCAAGTGCAAAGGCCCTGAGGTGGGGATAAGCTTGGTGTTTCCAAGATAGAAGAAGCCAGTGTGTCTGGAGCAATGTGACCAAGGGAAAGGGTAGAGGGAGGTGAGGCCCAGAGCATGCAGTGACCACATGTTGGAGGACTTGCTGACCATTAAGAGTTGGGATTTGGTTTTAGGGGGAGCTCAGGAAATACCAAAATGTAGAAAATGAGGAGAAAGAGCATGTGGTCTCAGTCCCCTTGGGGGCTGGGGAAGAACAAAGCAGTGGAGGTGCAAGAAGGGACTGAGGCCAGAGGCCTCTCCAAGCCCCTGCTTCCTTGTCCTCTGTTCTGAGTCGGGAGGCCAGAGGAGACTTTCTGCTCCCCAGAGGTGAGGGTCTCCCAGAAAAGGCTGAGAGACTCCTGGGGGAGAGGGGAAGCATCTGACCCCCAAAATGGAGGAAAAAGTTAAGTAGTTTAAGGAAAGTTTGGTGGTGAGACATAACTCGGTGATACTGTAGGGAGGGTGGAAAAGAGTGGGGGGTCCTCACAGCAGTAGAAAGGGGGAGCCTGAGAGAGAAAGGGGGACAGTCCTGGAGAAGCTAGCCAAGTCTGGGACCAGCTCTCCCGGGCAGGGTCCTGTCTGGCTCAGCCTTGTCTCCACCACTGGTAGAGCCCGCCCTTCACTGGGACGCAGCAGACACTGGCCAGATGATTGAAGGCATGAAGGACGGCTGCTGGAGGGGGAGGAAAAAAAAAACAGAAAAGAAGGAATGCAGAGAGGACAGGAAAAAATGAGAAGTAGAGGGAGCACTGGACGTCCCCAGGAGCAATGACAATTACTAGCACTTATTGATCAGTGTCTTGGCCTGAGCCCTTTTCCTGCATTAACTCATTTTAGCTTCTCAATCACAGGCAGTAGGTACTATTATTATCATCCCCATTTTATTGTTGAGACAACTGAGGCATGCAGGGGTCAAATGCCTTACTCAAGGTCACCCTGTTGGTCAGTGGCTGGGGGCTGACCCCAAATCCCAAGCTGTTCACTGCTTCTAAACACTGCCCCAGGAATGGAGTGAGCTGCGAGCCAAAAGTTAGAAGACCAACTTTGGCACCTCTCGATTTCTCTTGAGGAATGGCAGGCTTGGGCTTGGACTCTCTGGGGCTGTGTTCTGCCATCACTGAGTACAAGGGTCTTATAGATGAGGGAGCAGCACCCAGCCCCTGGGGACTAAGGATGCTTTTGATGGTGGGGGGTAGGAATGGAGAGAAGCAGGCCCATAGTCCATGGGGTCTGCTCATCATTGATGTGTTGCTGCTTTCTGTTAATTGTGGGGATGAGGAGGGACTTGCCAGGTGTCTAAACCCTAATTCTGGCCTTCCTGAATGAACAAATTCTGCACCGATCCCCAGACCTATTCCAGGAAGTTAGGAGCTAGGTTTTTTGAGCTGGTTTCTTTCCTAGCCCCTCTGAAGTCAGCAGCTGACACTGCATACCCAAGGGGCCTGATTGCCTCCATGCCCAAAAGTGCAGGCTTCATTAGGGGATAGGGCAAGTCCTGCCACTTCAGGGCCAGAGGGCCAGAGAGTCCAACGCTCTGTCCATTTGCCGCTGGACCAATTAACTGCCAGCTTAAGGCAGGGCATGGAACACATCCCAGCAGATGTCTGTCGTGGACCATGATGCAAGGCTGTGGGGTCACTTCCAGTGCTGAGAGCTTGGCTGGAGCCTTGCAGAATAGGCCCCCAAGTCTTCCCAGCCCACGACAATGCTTTACCAGCCTGTGGCATTTCCTCTTAGTCTAATGCATGGTGTCGAGCACATCTCAAAGCTGTGGGCCATACTTTGAATTTTTATTCATTTATTCAGCTGATCATTCATCTATTTAGTTTACCATCACGGTCAATTTCTTCTTGATCTCATCATCCAGGTGTTCTCCCCCTTTCTGAAGGTCTCACATTATTTTCATCCTGGCTTTGTGCAGAAGGGAAATAGGTACCCTGAGTAGCTCAGTCCTGGGATGGGGTGGCCTGGCTGGGAAAGGCAGGACCAGGGTTTCGGCAGATGCTGACCCCTAAGCTCAACTCAGTGTGGCCAACTCAAGCCCACTGGGAGGTGGGAAGGGTGGGCGTGAGAAGGAGTGGGTTTTCCTTTGGTGGAGAATTACAGTACCCCTCAAAGAGGCTCTCTGAGAGCTGGGTTTGGGAGGTAGTTCTCCAGAGACACTGCTCTACTGCCTTGTTCTATTTTCTTCGTGGGTCCTTTCACTCTCCGCAATATTATTCGTTTTAATGTTCATTATCTGCCCCTCCCCGAGTAAGGTTCATTCTGCACAGCCTTTCTTGCTCACGTAGGATTTACTTCTTGCACAAGAGATCGAACGAAAACCCCCTTGCAAAGAAAAAGTGCAAAGAGGACATCCAACAGTGAGAACACTGCGTTCCTTTGGTTTTGACAATTCTAATATTTTCACTTGCAAAGAACCAAATGGAAAAGTGGGAACCAAGCTCGGGGTCTCTCGGGGTTCGGAACAGATGAAAAGTAAAGCACCCCCATCCTTTCTCTCTTCTGCCCCAACCTGAACTCCACTCAGTAGCGGGGTGTGGAAACCTTTGGGAGCCGCAGAAGGGAGCGGCGCGCTCAGAAGCTGCTCTGCAGGCCGCGTCTCGCTGCGCACACGCCGAGCCCAGCCGGGGCGGTGGGTGGGAAGAATCCGGGAGGGGAAGGTCTGGGGGTGTGAGGGTGGAGCGGAACCCGGCCCCGCGATCCGGCCCGGGTTTTGCATGCCACCCACTCGCCCGCTCGGCCGCGGAGAATTCCATAATCACAGCGGGCGAGAGCGGAGACTGGGAGCGAAAAATCCGGGATCCGGCAACTTTGGGCAGCGCATGCGCGCCCGCGGCGCTCCATCCCAAACACACACACATTTTTCCCCCGGACTTGGAAAGTCACCCAAAGCCGCCCCAAGTGCAGGTAAGAGACTCGGCGCTCCCTCCGCTGCGGGCTCCCCTGTTCCCCAGCTCCGCGGGCCTCTCGGGGCGCCTCCCCGCTTCGCCCCCTGCCCGGGTGCAGC